CCCCGCGGTCCTGCGGCCGGGGTGGAGGTGCGGTGCTGCTGCTAACGGGCCTCTGGCCGCAGGGCGTCCGGAGCCAGCTCCGGAGCAGCTGGGTGTGGCCATTCCCCCGGCTCTGCTCGGCCGGGCCATTCTGGCTCTGCCGGTCCTGTGGGTGGCACGAGACTCCGGCATCCCCATATGCTACTTGACCCGCTTGAATAAGAGGAGGCCAATGGAAAGGACTGCCGTGGACCCGTAGTTGCTCTGCCCGCCTCTCCCCGGCTGGGGTTCGGAGCGCGCTGCCTCCGTGTTTACGGGGCTCGCCGAGGAGGCAGGGGTCCTGGGCTGCGGTGAGGTGGATGCTGGGCATACGGTTTCTTGCATCTGGAGTCACCAAATGTCTTAATCCGTGGGGCCTTGGCTGAGTCCCTTCTAACCCCTCCTGTTGCCCCAAGGTGTCCTACAGTTTAAAGCCACTTTCCTTTGCCAGGAAAGTCCTGCCCCTTCTCTTTGGGGAGCTCACCTCATATTCTATGAGCGGGTACAGCTGTTCAGTTTCTCATCCCAGCCAGCTTTCATCCAGCGTCACAGTGGCCCTGACCCTGCTCTGGAAATGGCCTGTAGGGTGTCTGCGCACCCCTGGTCTCAGACCATGTACAGCTCCTGTTCTCCCGGCAGGTGTTCAGCCTGCTCAGCTCCTGGTGCCGGGTCCTGTTCACAGAACAACTTCCAATTGCACAAGTCACCTTGTATACATGTTTGCTGAACTCTGAGATGTAAAGGGAAGTGGAGATTGTACACTGCTCTTCATTTATTCAGCAAGTACGTGGGTGTCCCGTGTGCCAGGCAGTAGGACCCAGCAATGTGCGAAACAGACCAGCCCTGGAGCAGACAAGAAACAGACTGCACACTGGGTGAGGGGTGAAGAGGGCAGGAGGAGGGAGGGTGTGCAGGGCTGTTCTGTCCCCACAGAGCCTGGGAAGGTGGAGGCTGTGCTGGAGGAGGGGGGGCAAGGCAGAGAGGTGACAGGGTCCTGGAGCATGGGGTACTTGTTTTGTTTTTTTGTTTGTTTTTCAGAGAGAGAGAGAGAGATAGAAACATCAGTGTGAAAGAGACACATCATCATATGTGCCTTGGCCAGGGCCGGGGAACGAGCCTGTGACCAAAGTATGTGCCTTTGCCTGGAATTAAACCCCAGACCCTTCAGTCCGAAGGCCAGTGCTCTAACCACTGAGCAAAACCCGCCAGGTCCTGGGGCATCTCTTGATGCTGTGGGCCCAGGGAGCCTGGCTGCCATGTTGATAGGCTGACTAGGACGGGGGCAGAGGCCGAAAGCCTGTCCAGACAGGGAGCAGCTGCTTTTTCTTTAGCCCTGATAACAGTCCTCAGAGGTAGGTCCTACAAAGATGCACCAGTACCTGGTCAAGGTCAGGCTGATCCCTTGGTGTGGGGTCTCCACCCACCTGCTGAGAAATGTGAGGGGCAGCTGGCCGTGGGTGGGGGTCTAAAAACTTCTTTGCCCCCTTGGGTCACTCCCCCATATCCTCTGGCCACTTGGGCCTGCTCTCCATATCCCTTGCCTCAGCCTTTCTGTGTCTCCTGTACCTCCTCTGGGGAGTCTGTCTCTGTAGAGTGTCCCTGTATTCCATGGGAGGAGCCCAGGTGGGCTGGGCAGGAACACACTCAAGGCCATGCAGCAGGTATTGGTGGAGGTGAGATTTGAACCCTGGACCTTCTGTCCAGAGCATAAGTTTGCAGCCCTGAGAACGCACCTGATCCCTCACTGCCCCCAGTTGAGCCTTGGCCCACATACTTCCCTTGCTCATAGCAGCAGCCACCTCTAAGCCCCCCTCCCCCCACTTTTCCTTGGCCTCCTCTGTAGACCTAGGGTCCCCTTCCTAGCATGGGGATCAAAGGATGCCCTGTGTGCCAGCTTGACGGCTGGTGTGCAGCCATTTGTTGCTGGCCTTCTCAGGGCTTTGTGAGTATGTCTTGTCCTTCTGTCCTCAGGTGCCTGCCTAATGCAGAGTGACCCCTCCCTTGTGGAGTAATCACTGTGTGGAGAGAGCATGGGGCCAAGTGAGACTCTTGAGACCTCCATTTTAGAGATGAAGAAATGGAGGCTCAGAGAATTGATGAAATGAAATGTGCTTTCACCAAACAGATGGAATCATCCTGGGCACTCAGTCCATCCCTAAGAGACAGGTGTTGGAGTGCAGACTGCTGGGAGCTTGGCCAAGCTCCCTGCAGGGCCAGGGCTGGCTGTCAGGGTGCGAGGGGCCCCTATTTCTGGACAGAAATTGCCTCCCCATCCCTGTCTATCTTTCTCCTGGCCCAAGCCACCTTCTCTGTCTCCCCCCTTCCTGAACACCTTCCTCCCACCAGCTCCACACACACCTCTTCCCACTCTCCTGGAGCTGCCAGACTCCAGTTCCACACACGGTTCTGGGTGTGATCCAGGCCAAAGGCAGCTATAGCCCAGAGAGGGCAAAGGGTCACTGCAACAGGAGAAGGGCTTGCTGAGGGCACAGAGAGCCCAGGTCCCCCTGCGGCTGTCCCCATCCTGAGCTGGGACAGGGACAGTGACTGCCACTGAGCAAGATTCCTTGCCAGACCCCAGCTTTGACCTCAGCGGGTAAAAAATGCAACCTCCAGGATCTTCTCTGCTGCAGCCCACTCAGCAGGAGCCCCCTGGCAGGGGCAGGGCTTGCCTGAGTCCCTGTTGCCCCCACTTCAGCCTGCTAGCTGGGGCTGGGAGAAGTGGCTGAGGGAAGTCCTGGGCTCTGCAAACAGCAAGAGTATTCTTAAAGGTCTGTCCAGAAATTTGGAGGCTCTTCAGAATCTTCAAGGTTTGCAGGATGTGGGTTTGTCCGATGGGACAGGGGTGGTTTCCTCCCACCTGTGTGTGTGTGTGTGTGTGTGTGTGTGTGTGTGTGTGTGTGGTGGGCTGGAAAGGGAGATGGAGCAGGGCAGAGGAGGCCATTCAGGATGGAAAGAAAAACCAGAGGGGCAGCAGGGGCTCCCTGCTGAGGTCTCCCCTTCCCCAGTCCCTGAGTTCTCTGCAGGATCTCCCAGCACCACCAACTCTGCAAATGCCAGGTTTGGCCTGTGCAGTCACTTCCCCTGCCCAGAATGTCACTTTCCTCCCTGAACCTCTGAGGGGATGACCTGCAGTCAGGTGTCCCCCTCGGGGTGCACTTTCTCCCTGAGGCTGCCCTTTCTTCTGCTGCAGCCATGACTATTGCTGAGCCAGGCTCTTCTTGTCCCTTCTGGCGGCCCCAAGGACACACAGGGCAGGAGGCTGCCTAATGGGGGCAGCCTCGGATTTGGGGGGTTAAGGGTGCCCCTGTTGACACCCACCCCCTTGCACCTTCTGGCTTTGTTGGAGGTGCCCCATTCTGTGTCCCCCCCATGTCTGTGATGCCCGATGTGGGAGAGGCAGCATCTACACCCCCTTTCCCTCCTGGGGGACCTGGAGGGGGAGCGTAAAGACCAGCAGGACTGGAGAAGGAGAACTTTATGCGGAAGGGTGGGGCGTGGCCGCGGCGTGGCCCTCAGCGCAGGGAGCTCCAGCCTTCCACTTTTTCCTCCAGGATGGTCTCCACGCGTCTCCGCTGCGGGGAGAGGGGCTGTGGCCAGGTGTGCAGGGGGGCGGGCGGGCCCCCTCTCCGTCCCTTCCCGGGCTTGCAGGCACCTCTTGGCGGTCCAGGGGGTCCGGGATCCGCGTGGGCTTCAGCTGCGGCGGCAGGAACAGCTCCAGCCGGATGGCGGCGCGCGCAGACTTCTGTCGCTGGATTAGGAGCGAGATCTCCTCGGCCTGGGGCGGGGCGGCGCGGGGCGTTTCCGAGCGCGCCCGGGCGTC